ATGAGAGGAAAGACTCTAACTGGCTCACATTTGTTCAGTTCTGATTTTTCCTCAAATTTGTTTCAAAAAGCTAGTCCCTTTTCAGAGGTTGTGGGATTTTAGGATTGCAGATGAGAGACTGTGACTCTGTATATACTCTCGGAAATGCCTGGGGGAAAGTTCTGGAAATGGGAACCAGTTAGTGCCTCATCATTTTGGAGTGAGACCCATGTTTGTGGATGTGGTACATGGTTAAAAATCCTCATAATGTAGTTATAAAGGTCCATCACATTGGGCATAGGGACAAATATCTTTGTCTGGATACTAACGTCATCTTGAACAGAATCAAATAAAACATGTGAATAGAAAGGATCATTTAATTTCAGTATTTTACTTTTCCTCATTAATTTTATTGTTGGTTGGAAAAGAAAATGTGCCCCTGATTTACATGTGAGTTTGATTGAACACATGTTCTCAGGAAGCAGGCTACAAACCAATAAAGCCATGTTCATTATCATACATGAAATAAGACAAATGGATCAAAATGAGCTAAAGAATTGATAATATCATCTGCCATTATCCTTTCTTGTAGCATGTTGTGAACATGTGGATCTACTTAAAGGTTTCCTTTATGTTGGATTATATCAAAGACAGATCCGATGGATTTTATATAATAGGTTATTTCAAAGTAATGAATTGGCTGAACTAATGTCTTCTTACAAAATAAATAATTCTGAAAGAAAATAGATCTTTATTCTTAAATCCTCCTCCTTTCTCAATTAATTAGACTTTGTTGGGGAAAGGAAGTTAAGAAATTCAGCATAAGCCTGATTATATCATGAATGTAAAATGAGCAGTGCAAATAATGGGCCCTATACTCTTTCAAACAAGTTAAATAAGTCCATAATAGCCCACCAGTTGTGTAAACACTATTTCACTATACTTGTAAAAGAAATATTGACTTACCTGTTAACTAAAATTATCCTGGCATGCTTCAGCTAAACTTATTAGTAATTCTTGTGGTATACATGAATGTTTTTAGTGGTGGACTTTTATCAAAGATTAAAGAATTAGGAAATATCCATTTAGCAAGCCAAAAAGCAGACATGTACCAGACCACAGTTTACTAGAATCCATTTTAGGAACACACAATTTAAGAATCTAAGAAGCAAAAAGTAATTTTGCAATCCTGGCATAAGATATTCCACTACACATCAGCTCATTAACACTCAAGATACCTTCCAAAATCATAGATATGAATATATCACTGCTCCCTACTCTGTCTCTCACCTAACCAACCCATCTCTGGCCTACACCCCAGTTCTTGTACACATACATAAGTAAATAAAAAATAAATCTATAAAAAATTTTGAGGGGTCTCCCTGGTGGCCCAGGAGTTAAAGACAGCACTATCAAGCTATTGCCAACCACACACATGAGTTCGATCACCAACCAGGGAGGTGACCCACATGGCACCTCTCTTGTCTCACCTGCTGCTCCCCTCAGCAGTGGATTTCTGTCAATCTACCCCTTCTGCTCCCCACTCTGTCTCTGGTGAATCCTCTTACACACCCAATGCGCACACACACACACACACTTCTGGGCTACCCCCCCCCCAGTTCATGTATGCATAAATAAATAAATCTTTTTCTTTTTAATTTTATTGATTCAGTCAACTGGGAGGTGCTGAAGTTGAATGGCTTCAGTTACAGGTGTTTCTCCTTGCCGAATATTCAGGTCCCCAGAGAGCTTTCTCCCCATGGCCAAATGGCAGCCCCTATGAGCTCAGCTTTTCTTGTCTTTGTAGTTCATGAAGCCAGAAGAGAAGACCTTCTAACTCTAGAGTCCCTGACAATCCCCAAACAAGTTCAGATTGATCTGTTTGGTCTTATACCTATCCGGAGGCAGGGAGGTAGAGACATAAGATTTACAGCCACCAAAGTTCTGAGAGATAGTTCCCCAAAGAAAAAGTGTGGTGTGCTCTTACCAAAAGAAGAGTGTTGGGTTAGCAACAAAAAGTAACAAATGCACACTATACCTCACTTTGTCCACTGTAGATTTCTCCCCCCATTTACTGAATCAGAATTTCTACTACCATGAATTTGTTAACAGACTTCAATTCCTGCAAAGGAAAAACACTAGCACGGATTGCCACTATACTCTGATGTAGGACAAGTTCCAGACATTTTAATGCTTAGAACAATCTAGGTGAATAATGCCTCCTTTTTGCAGAGAAGGAAATAGAGACTTAGGCTGATTCAGTGCTTCTGATCAAACAGCTTGCAACTGACAGAACCTAGATCCAAATCCAATTCTACCTCGTTCATTCCAACCAAAACACAATGCTTTCTTTCTTTCTTTTTTTTTAACATCCCTGGAGTCAAAGAAAATGTGGCCAAAGTCCTGAAACAGATGGTGGACACAGCATAGTCGGACGTCTATTTGGGGAAGTCGGTCTGTTGATAAATATTTAAGCACCCACTATCATGAATTCATAGTATGATTCCTACAGTCAGAGTCCCTGTGTCCAAAGTTATCACAATAAAGAGAGCAAAACAAAATGATTCACATTCAAGAAAACTGTAGGGCAAAACTGTGTAATATTCTAGCATACCCTTATGTGAGCGTCATCATCCTTGGAATTCCTGCTCAGAGTATGTCATCCCCTTGCATTTGCAAACTCCACAAGGAGAGCCTCTCCAGGCCTAGGCTTCAGTGATCCACCTGGAACACACTCCAGGTGACTGCTATGCCCTAATTGTAGTTATTCTACAAAGTTTCATTGATTGAAGATTAATGCAGACAGCAATCAAGGGGGGGTTCACATAAAGAATAAGGTCTTCAGTTGCCCTTACAAAATAAATAATATGGGGGTAGTTGTTTTTTGTTGTTGTTGTTTTAAACGAAGGAAAATAGGTAACTAAGTTATTCTATAAATGTGGTTGAGGGGAAAAGAAATACTGTGAGAATAAGCAAAAGGGTCGTGGTGGGTGTGGAGTGCAGAGACAGGTAAAGGAGCAGGTCAGAATAGGGCCTTATGGCAACTCTGGAAACTTGGATTAACACGGATTTCAGCGGCCACTGTCAAATTTTCCAGAATCCCTAGTTCACAGTTCTTTTATTTGTAAAAATGAGGAGGATGTTGTCTATCAATCCTAACCACTCTCTCTTCTCTCTCATCCAGACAATCTCAAACTGTGATGAGATTTACCCAAGGAAAGAGCATGTTCAGAATACAGGTCCAGGAATCTATATATTTTTAAAAGTTTTACAGGTTATCAGCCAGATTTAAAGACTGCTCCTGAAATGGAGGAGGGCAAATACATATATTGTGAAAATTGAATAACTTCAGCAGGAGAGTGTATGTGGAAGAGTAAGGCCTTGAAAGCCCCGGGAAGCAAGGAGGGCATTGTTCCTGGGAGTGATCAGTGTACATTTTTGTGAGTTGATGTGGCTCACTTGGGTGTCACCTCTTCCAGCCACTCACTCAGCTCTAGAGAGAGAGGATTTTACCACACTGAGGTCTGTACACAAGAACCCCAGACTTGTCCATCCTTTCTCCTGTAGATTCACTACAGGACACTACTTGGGGGGCACAACAGTAACACTGACTTATAACATTATGCAAGTTTCTTGTGTAGAGCATTACACTTGAACATCTGTCTGTCTGCTCTACAGCAGCACCACCACCAAAAGCCTGGCTTCCATCCATCATGCAGGGTGAATCCTCTTCCCCATTTTACATACCCAGCCCTGCACTTCCTGCAAACTACCCCACTGTCTTCTCTGCATCTAAGTTTCTGCTTTTGTTTCATTAGTTCATTTGCTTTGTTTCTGTATATTCCACTTGAGTGAAATCCTGTTTCTGTAGAACAATCTTTAACGAGCAAGAGCGCCTGCATTTTGCACTGGCTTTGGGCAATGCTTCTAAGAGCCCCAGAGTCTCTCACCTGGGTAGGACTACAGTTAGTTTGAAATCTCCAGAATACTTAGGATGAAAAGGCCCTCTAAACAAAACAAAAGCAAACAGTCATCTGTCTATCTGTCCAACATTGTTTAACTAAAAGTGACTTCCAGAGTCCTAAAGCACTTTGAAAAAAACAGTCCCTTCGGCTTCCCCGGCTGGTGACTTAGGAAGACAGCCCTGCCTGGAGTGCTTGCTCGGGAGTTGTATTTATTTAGCGATTAACCCAGCGCTTTGATTTTAGGGCAAAAGCGACTCTGGCGGTGCGCTGTGGGGTGAGGATCAAAAAGGCCACCCATCGTTCCTCTGGAGATGCCGCCTGTTACCCTGAAAACGTTAACTATTTTTCTGGGTCAGGTTTTAGCTTTGGTTTTGTTTTAAGCTTTCCTGTGTATCCCATCCATTATTTAAAATGAGCTTGGAAACAAACAGGACGCATCCGTCGGCCCCTGCCTGCCTGTGTCCCTCTGAAGCAGATCGCTTTCGGCTCTCTGCTCGGGGTCTCCAGAAGGCTGGAGGGGGTGAGGGCGGGATGCCCTGCCTCTCGTCGGGCGCTAAGCGCGGAACTGACCCCGGGAGTCAAAGCCCCAGCGCCAGGCACCTAGCGCCGCCAGCCGCTCGCCCGCCCCGGGCTCTGCAAAGGAGGGAGGGGATCCGAGGAGAGAAAGTGAGGCTGGGCGGGGGGTGCCTGGGAAGCCGGGCTCGGCTGACGTCACTGGGCGCGCATTTCGGGCTGGAGCGCTTTAAAAAAACGAGCGTGCGAGCGGAGATGCTGCTCCACACAGCGCAGGCCGCCTGCAGCAGCAACGCGCTTCGCCCTGCGGTGGCTGCAGCGAGGGTCCCTCCGGAGGCCCGCGTGGCCGCAGCGGGCACGCCCCGGCCCCGCAGCGCTCGTCCTCGGCGCCCCCGCCTCGGGGGCAGGAGCACTGCGCCCGGCCTCGCACGCGCGGGTTGAGCTGCAGAAACCCGCCGAGCCGCGTCCGCCGCGCCGCGCCGCGCAGCAGCCTAGACGTTGCCCTCCGACTGCGTCTCGCTCGCCGCCCTCTGCCGCGGCACCATGGACACCTCCCCGTTCGGCGTGATCCTGTCCTTGCCGGTCCTGCTCCTGCTGGCAGCCGGGGGCGGCTCCCCGAGGCCCAGCGCGCTGCTGCGAGGGTGCCCTGAGCACTGTCAGTGCGAGCCCGACGGCAGGATGCTGCTCAGGGTGGACTGCTCGGACCTGGGGCTCTCGAAACTGCCCTCTAACCTCAGCGTGTTCACCTCCTACCTGTAAGTGCGCTCCCACTTCATTCTGGGCATAGGCAAAGGGGCCAGTGAGGGGAGCCCAGCACCAGACTGGGGGCTCCTCCGCTCCCTGCAGCTTTGCTGCGAGCGGGCGTGGGTGCACAGGGCATCTGGGGCGTGTTGGGGCGCCAGGGAAGTGCATGTGCCTAGCGGTTAGTGCTCCCGCACTTTGTGAGCCCACAGAAAAACGGGCTTCAGGGCCACCGGGGAAAGAACTGGTGCGCAGCAGCTTCTCGGTCCAGTTCTAGGCAGGTCGCAGGGCGAATTTCTCCACGTGGAGACGTTTATCTACATTGTGCTCTTTCGTGCCCCTGAGCCTAGAACCCAAGGGCAGGCTGCGCGGTCGGTCCCCAGCCCAACCTTCCCTCCTCGTCGGCATAAGGAATAGATGGGCCGTAAAAAAGTTTCTCCACAGGAGAACGCCAACGTGCCCAGCTCCAAAGGAACTTCCTCTGCATCCCCTTGCAGGGTCGTGTGATGTAACCTTTTTCTTTTCTTTATTCTTTTTTTTTTTTTAATGGAGCGATTAAAATGTGGCAACCGCAAAGCCCCATTAGAGCTGCCAGAACGTTATCTTTACCTTTGGCTGCCCGAGCCGCTCTTTGAAGTGCCGGCGGCCGCGGTATAATCTTTAACCATCTCCTCCTCCCGGGAGGTAAAGGGAAGTGGGCTGAAGGCGGCGGGGCGGGTAAACATGGGAGCCGACACCCGAGAGGAGACCTGAAGCTCTCTGACATCCCTCGGGGATCCTCCCACCGGTGGTCTCCGCACCTCAATCTGCAGAGCCCCCGCAGCAGAGATGAGGCGGCGCCTCATATCGGAACTTTGTCTTTGGGAAACCCGGGCCCAGAGAGTAACAGGTGGTTGGGTTGGAGAGGTCACCTAGGAGGAACTCGATTCTCAAGGACCAGAGCCTGTTCCCCGCCCCCCCGTGGAGAATCTGGGGTTCGGTTTCTTAGGGCTGAAAGACCAAGTTTGGGTCCATTGAGGAAAAGGCGCAAAGCACAAAATGACACATTTAAACGAGTCCGGCGCTCTGCGGCGAGCCCACCCTGAGCCTCTGCAATCGCAGTTTCGGCTTCTCTGATGTACCCTGGCAAGGAGAGTAGGGGTGTTAGTGAACTCGTTCTTTCCTCTGGTTAGTTGTTTTCCGGAGAGAAGAAACATGAAGAGGCTTGCACAACGCTCTCTGCTAGATAGTGATTCTTTTTCTAGAGACCGTGAGGGAGGAAATTGGGCTTTGTTTTTTAATTAGCTTAATGTTGTGTTCAAAGAGAAGGACCGGCCTGCTAAATTTTAGTATCAGTAGATGGCAGTTCCCTCCTCATCAACCATAAAATGATTTGGACTATTTTGCGGTGTCCGAAAGGGTTATACAATTATCTATTTTCCCCCACCAGCTCGCCATTGCATGGCATACATTGCATGCAGTAGTGATGTTTTTACAATGATGGAAATCTACTCCCCTAAATGATCATTCTCCAAGAGTTCACATTTCCTCCTTCTAAACAGCTGCCTTACTACAAAGGGAAATATTCATGGCCAGTCTCTCTGGTTTAACTACTAAATCAGTGTTTCAGAAGTCATATGTTTTTCTGTAGAGTGAATTTCTGAGAGCGGTGTGACAGTTTTCAGTTTAGAGGCAAAAACTGTTCTTTCACATTGCTTTAAAGAAAATGACTATGCAAGGGAGGTGTGCAGCCCCACCCCACATGCCTAATTATTCAGATCATAAACTTTTATAAAATGTGATTTAAATGCAGAAGATAAATTAATGAATGTACAGTCTGGAGGCTTTTTCTCCCACTCGAAAGAAGGAACATTTGTTAGGCTTCTGTTACTTAAAGTTGGCATAAAAGACAGCTTCAAATTATTTCCTACATACCTCGAATGCATTTAATTATACCCTCCATGCTCTCAGGAGATCTTACTGCCACTGTTCCCTCTCTAACATAGATAACCCCTTGCAGCCAAGATACCATCAGGAGGGTAATCTTCATCTTTCTTCTTGCTGTGATAGCAGCCTGTACTCTGACCTAGGGGGAAATTTTCTCAGTGCCCTATGAAATAGTAAACTCAGAAGTGGCATTTCACAGAATATGAGGGCTGAGGGTAGAAATCAGTCCTGAATAACCCAACTGATGTTCTTCATAAAGCCACTTCAGAATTTGGTCTCCTTCTTGAATACAAAATGCCAGAGGCCATGGAATGCCCTTCTTTTGTGGGCTAAGGGCTTTGGAGCTCTGGTCTGGGGGGTGGGGAGTGGGTAAGAACCACAGGGGCTCTGTGCAGACACCAAAGGTAGATGGTGCCCTCTTTTGGTTACACCTAGAATTATGTGGCCATCTCTGCCTTCACTAGGGCATTTACCATCTATCAGAGAATTTGATTTTTTCATGTTTAATTAAAGAAGCATGTGTCGGTGGTTTTCTAATTTCAAGAAAAAGGAAGCTTGAAAAGTCACCTTTGCTGCTGAAAGGGAACATTAAGTTACAGCCCTACACCTTTGGGGCCCAGTGGTAATTAAACTTTGATGAGAAAGTTGCAATGTACAAAGACTGATGTGGGTGAAAGGCCAGACACTATCTTTTATTGTTTGTAGTGGGTTATCAACCTTTATTTGAGTTGAAATGTTATCTCTCGATCTTCCTCCCCTCTGCACACAAAGAACAGGCATTTCATTTTCTTCAAACAGACTGATGGCACATTTCAGCTGTACACATTTGGCAAATAGATTTTCTACAATCTGATAGCTGCTTGGCCAGACTCATAGATAAAGAAAGTTCCCTAAATCTTTGCATAGAAAGCTAGAACTGTTTACATGCAGCTTTATAATCAGTCTTCCCCAGAAAAGCTAAATCGTAAGCCTATTCAAACATCAATATTCATTCTTTTCTTACTGATCCGCATTCCCCAGTAATTCTTTAACTGGACCACTAAATGTGATGGAACCGCTAGAAAATCTTAATCCTCAGTGTTGTCTCTTTCTTCCCCCCTCTGGCCACCTTCTTCCCTGCTCCATAGGCTGTAGTCTCTGATCTTACGTCAGGGGCTAACAAATAAAGCTCAATTAGAAGAAAATAAACAGTCTACCAAGGTGGAGAGGTTAAAGCAGACAAGCATTTATAGGATTAAATACATCTAAGTGTGGCAGCAGTGATCTGTCAGAAATAAAATGGTTCTACCATCTAATCTTGTTGTAGGTAGGTTACTTTAATGCATGAGATATGGACATTTTTGTTAATAAGCTCTTAAAACTAAGCTCCTATGCTACTCTGATGGGTCTTTCATCAGTGTGACATGTATCTAGAACTAAATTGTAAAGGCTGTCTTAATATTGTAAATATGTTTTTCTGAGCCATTTTATTTTAAATAACACTGAAACTTTGCTGTTGCTGAAAGACATGAACATCTCATTCACAAACAAATATCTGTCATAAGAACCAAAGAAAACGGGAGAATATTTTCTTAATTTATGCATTGGGATTACTTTTCCACATGGAACTTTGCAGTGCTGGTTAACTGTACTGTATAATTAGTAAAACCGTATTAATTAAAAACTGATCAAAAACCTCAACTAGCTAGATGCAGTACGGTCATCACATCATACTTGTGGTTTAGGCATTTAAGATGCAATTTCAAAATTTGAAAACATTGTAGAATCTTCTTTGAGATGGTTCAGTATAATCCTGCTTCCCTTAAAGCAAAATATTTAAGGAGAGAGAGATGCTTGTGCATTAGCAACGGCTACAAAACCCTTAAGTGTTATAGTCAAAATTCAGATCACCCCAAAATTTATAGTTCATTATACAACTTATCTTTAAATTTTATTTAAAACATTAATCAATGACTTCTCTGCATTTTGATGAAGTTCTTTCTTTTTCTCTAGGATGCCCAAGGTTTGGGGGTGGGGGGGAGTTAGCTTATTCATTTGTTTAATAATCTTCTTGTTACAAGAACAATTATTGGAAGTGATTAATTAAATTAGTCTAAGTAAGTTTTCAAAGTAGTGGTTCTGATTTAAACAATTTTGTGGTATAGATTATAATAAATATTTTACTGAATTTGTTCAACCTGTGCCTGTCAGGGCTTGTACGAGTATGAATTTTTATGTATAATAAACACAATCTCAGATCTTTTCCTCCTGATATGTTTTCTTCAGAGTAAAGAAGTTCTGATAAACAACAAAAGATAGCAATCAAAATATAATCTGTGTAGTCAAATAAAATTGTGTTTGGTAATGGAAACACTCCCTCCCACTTGAATGAGTTTACAAGTATAAAAATACAACACTAGTCTATGATTTCTCAGAGTTAGGCTATTTTAATCTGGAGTATTTGATTGTTTTCAACTTCTAGAATATAGCTGTCCAAGTCAAAGAAATGATAAGCAATTAACCCAACAAAGTTATAAAATTGATGATATTGCAAAGTATTTGAAGTTTTTTAGTGATATGTAATATTACCTGTCTTCATAAGAGCTTATTGTATTTCTTCTATTAAATTCAGAACATAGTCATTTTAGCTATAAATTTAAGTCTGCTTCCCATCAACCCAAGTTATATGCCATAAAATAGGAATGCAAAACAGTAATGAGCTGTTTTGAGCTCTACTGAGCAATTTTGTGATATTTTTCATTTTGTTCAGTTATCTATATAAATTTATAATAATGCTAAATGGTACATTTCCTTGTAAACACCCACCACCAGTAAATTGAGTTCTTCGTGAGAAGGCAAATTCCTTCCTATGAGATTCAACTTTACTCCTGTTGCAATGTTTTCCTTTCTAGAGTCTCATTTTTGTAGAGAGATGACTCACACAAGCATTAAAGCCACAATTCTCATAAACCTATGAAAACAAGCTGATTATCTCACCCTGTTGCTATTTTTGAGGTATCTTAGTAGAATTTCATTGGCTATACCTGCCTAGGAGTTCAAACCTAGAACGATTCTTACATTTCTAGATCTGTCCATTTCAACCCACATT